GAAGGAGTATTGGTGGCCCTGGATGAAGAGGGATGTTGAGTGGTTCGTCGAGAGGTTCCTGACTTGTCGTCAGGTTAAGGCCGAGCACCAGCGTCCGCACGGTAAATTGCAGCCGCTAGAGATTCCCGAATGGAAGTGGGAACATATTACCATGGATTTTATCACCAAATTGCCGAGGACTGCGAGAGGAATTGATGCGATTTGGGTGATTGTGGATAGATTGACGAAGAGCGTTCATTTTCTAGCCATCAGTGAGAGCTCTTCTGCGGAGAAGTTGGCAGAATTATATGTGAGAGAGGTGGTATCGCGGTATGAGGTTCCGATGTCGATTGTTTCAGATCGGGATGTACGTTTTACTTCCAGGTTTTGGAAGAAGTTTCATGAGGAGTTGGGTACGAGGCTGCATTTCAGTACCGCATACCACCCGCAGACGGACGGACAGAGCGAGCGGACGATTCAGACGCTTGAGGATATGCTCCGAGCATGTGTTTTGGATTTTGGAGGGAGATGGGACACCTATCTACCTTTAGCATAGTTTTTGTACAACAACAGCCATCATTCGAGCATTGGTATGCCACCATTTGAGCTGTTGTATGGGAGGAGGTGTCGCACCCCCATCTGCTGGGGAGAGGTGGGGCAGCGGGTGATGGGTAGCACGGAGATTGTACTCCAGACGACCAAGCAGATTCAGCAGGTCAGGCAGAGGTTGTTGACCGCGTAGAGTCGCCAGAAGAGTTATGCGGACAGGTGTCGGTCCGAACTCAAGTTTCAGGTTGGAGACCTTGTGCTCCTAAAGGTCTCTCCATGGAAAGGAGTGATACGATTCAGGAAGAGGGGCAAGTTGGTACCCCGGTATATTGGACCTTTCAGGGTAATTGCTAGGGTAGGCAGGGTAGCCTACCGATTGGATCTACCTGCTGAGTTGGGGTAGATACATAATACCTTTCATGTCTCGCAGTTGAGGAAATGTATTGCCAACGAGTCGGCAGTGGTGCCATTAGATTATATTCAGGTGGATGCAGGCCTGAACTATGTGGAGAGACCAGTGGCGATCAGGGATCAGAAGGTTAAGGTCCTGAGGAACAAGGAAGTACCCCTGGTACAAGTGCAGTGGCAACATCCGAAGGGGTCCGAGCTGACATGGGAGTCCGAGTCTGAGATGCGGGATCAGTATCCAGAGTTGTTTTCAGTATGACTTCGGGGACGAAGTCTGGTTCTAGTGGGGGGAGAATTGTAACACCCCGAAATCCAGGTATTCTTCTATTTGGCCCTGCATCTTGGTTATGTTGTCATTTTAGGGTTTTCATGATAAGCGAGTACGTTGGGCGTACAAGGTGTACGTTGCGCATACTCACGCGCCTCATTTGGACACGTTCACCCTCAGGTACGCTGGGCGTACCCAAGGTTATGCTTGGGGTAACTGGCCCAGACCTAAAAAAAACCTAATTCCTTTGGAGGGCTATAAAAGGAATGTGTGGCTGGACTTCTCAGCCACCATCCCTCAGAGAGAAACCCTAAAGAGAGTGTGCATTCGTTCTTAAGCCATTTTGTGAGTATTCTAAGCTTGGTGGTGCCATTCCAAGGTTGCAAAGGAGAAGAAGAGCTCATTGGAAAGAATATAAGTGGTGTTCATGTGTAGATCTGAGCTTTGCAAGGGTTAAAGCTTCATTATCAGGTAAAAAGTTTGGATCTTGTCACTTGGTTCATGTTATATGCTTCAAGTACCATTTTCTAGGGTTTTAGTCCCAAAGGTGGAGACTTTTTGTGCAATGGCCTCCATAAGCTTAGATCCTTCATATTTCTGATCTATTGGAGTTGTAGACTCATAAAAATGACATCTTGGACGTGAATATTGCACCATGCATGAGATCTAGGTCCTTGAGTTGGAATAAAATGATGTTAAGAAGTGTTGGAGCCTTTACAGCCATGCCAAGGCTTAAAGGTCTCGACTTTATGGGTTTAGACACATTAACAGAGTCGGATCTAGAAGTTGGAGTAATGGCTTAACCGATTAAGACCATAAATGAAGGGTGTTAGAATCTGATGGTTACGCTGGGCGTAACTTCCAGTACGCGCAGCGTACTGGGTGGAGACCCCGATCCATGGGTTGGCGATGTACGCCCCGCGTACATCTAGCAGTACGCCCCGCGTACTCACAGGGTTGACTTTGTTGACTTTTAGGGTTTTGGTCAACATGAGGACTTTAGGTCAAGGAAGGGTAAAATGGTCTTTTACCCTCTGAGGAATGATGATAAAGGTAAAGTTTTAGTTGTGGAAGTCTTTGATTATTAAATGATATTTTTATGATTAGGCGAGGTAGGGTCGTCGTTGGGATTTGGAGATAGCGAGTACGCGAGATCTTAGACTTTCCACGAAGTGAATTTTCTCACTATACTGTACCCGGAAGGGTTTTTATTGTGTGACCGGAAGATCAGATATGTTATGAGTTATATGCATCGTATGTGATAAGTTAATCGTTTATATGTGCCATGTATGATATGCTTGATATGGGCCGGACGGCACTATGTTATGGGCCGGAAGGCGTATATGTATTGCGCCGGAAGGCATTGTAATGTGGACTGTAAGGTTGACGTAGGTAGGACCGGAAGGTTTACCTAGTTGGGACGGAAGTCCCCTGAGACACACGGACCGGAAGGTCAGGGCCTGGAAAGGCGTATGTGCGTAAGTTGTATTTTGGGGAATTCACTAAGCATTTATGCTTACAGTTGTTGTGTTATGTATTTCAGGTACTAGCGAGGACCGTGGGAAGGCGCCGGTGTGATCGTACACATTGTCGGGGAAAGACTATTTTATGATCATTGGGATGTATTTTGTTATGATAACATTGTTCACATTTGAATTTGGAATATTAATCGATGGTTTTTGATGTTTACAAAAATGAAAAATTTGTTTTAAAATTTACGTTGTTACATTTACTTTGGCACAAGTTAGGTACTTGCCCACATAGGTAGCAATTTAGGATTTCATGTTTGGCCACCAATAGAGTTTCGTGAGATCTAAACACATCTTATCTGAGCCTGGGTGAATGGAGTATTGAGTCTTGTGTGCTTCATTCATGACTACGTCCCTGAAACCACTGAACTTTGGGGTCTAGATCCGGTTCATGAAATAACGAACTCCGTCTCCCCCTTGATCTGAAAGTTCTTCTCCATTCCCCTTAAAGTTTCACCCGCCACATTTTCAGGTTTTAATGCTTCTAGCCGAGTCTCTTTGATTTGTGTGGACAGATGGGAATGGATTGTCATGGTTAGTGCCTTCACCCTATGACCTAAGTACTCCTTTCGACTAAGGGCATCCGCTGCTATATTGGCTTTACCAGGATAATATAGAACTTCGCATTCGTAATCATTGAGTAGTTCTACCCATCATCGCTGTCTCATCTTAAGTTCTTTATGATCAAAGATATGTTGAAGGCTTTTGTGGTCGGTGAAGATAGTACACTTGGTACCGTAAAGGTAATGTATCCATTTTGTTAGGGCAAAGACCATTGTTCCCAACTCAAGATCGTGAGTGGTGTAGTTGAATTCGTGTGCCTTAAGTTGTCTCGAGGCATAAGCAATAACCTTTCCTCGCTGCATAAACACACAACCTAGTCCCTGATTGTATGCATCGCAGTATACAACGAAATCCTCTGTCCTTTCTAGAAGAGACAAGATAGGTGCGCTGCACAAGGACCGCTTCAGTGTCTGGAATGCAATGTATTGTTTTTCTCCCCATTTAAAAGTTACATCCTTCTGAGTCAGGGTAGTAAGCGGTTTTAGCAATTCTGCAGAAGTTTTGTATAAATCGGCGGTAATAGCCCGCTAGACCCATGAATTGACAGATTTCTATGGGCGTTGTCAGTGCTGACCAATTCTTGATTGCCTTTATTTTGGGAAGGGTCCACGTGTATGCCTTTTTTGCTAACCACATGACCAAGGAAAGTTACCTTGCTAATCCAAAACTTTCATTTTGAGAAGTTTGCATATAGTTTCTCTGCCCTTAAGGTTTCTAGCACTTGTCTCAAGTGTTGGCTATGTTCTTCCTTGCTTCGTGAATAGACAAGTATATCATTTATGAACATTATCACGAATTTGTATAGGAAGGGACGACACACCTGATTCATTAGATCCATGAATACCGCGGTCGCGTTGGTTAGACCAAAGGGCATCACTACAAACTCGTAAAGACCATAACGAGTTCGGCATGCTAACTTGGGAACATCACTCTCCTGAACTCGTAATTGATGGTACCTTGATCTCAGGTCGATCTTCGAAAAGTAGCTCCCTCATTGGAGTTGATCGATGATATGTGCATATTTAGTTATAGAATTTGTGTAGAATCTTAATACTTTTTGGCTATTTTATTTCAATAAACAAAAGGTACTTAATTATGTTTAAATTATATTTTCAGCCTAAAAGACATGCTCGGAAGCAAAAGGAAGCGAGAAATGCAATCGGAAGCTTGAGAATTGAAGAAAGAAGAAAAAGAGTCAAAAAGCTGAATGTACTTGGTGAGTTGGACACCTAATCGACGAGTAGGCACGAAACTCCGCGAACCAATGGGTGCCTTATCGCACATGCACTACTAGAAAAATAGCCTTTTACGATGCTCATTGCGCGTCGTAAAAGGCTCAGACGACGCGCAAATGCGCGTCAAGGAAGGCCCTGTCATAAAGAGAGACGACGTGCATTTATGACGTACAATTACGACGCGCGTTTATGCCACGCAATGCGTATCAAAGAAGGCTCCGTCATAAATGAAGACGACACGCATTAGCGCGTCGTAACCTTACGATGCACGTGTTAATGACACGCAGTGCGTACCATGGAAACCCCTGTCAAGAAAGGTCATGTCATAAATGAAGATGCCACACATTTTTGCATATCGTAATTTTAAATGTTAAAAAAAATTATTTATAGATTTACTAATTTTCAAATTAAATTTGCATTTAATATTAAATGCAAACTTAATTTGAAAATTAGTAAATCTATAAATAATATTTTTTTAACAACAGATTGAAATTATCATAAGAACGATAATTCATTTCAAAAATATATCACGTGTCAAACAAGTTACTTAAGCATTACATGTCAAAACAACACTACATGTCTAACACTAATAACACTTAAAAACATGTTTTTTCCTGCATTTGGAGCACCCACTATTCCTATATCAGCAACCAACTTTAGGTCCAATTCCAACCACCTGTAAAAGAACAACATTGTAAAAGAACAACATTAGAAGATCAACATTTGCATTCAACATTAGTTGCCCTTGGACCAATTTTAGGTGTAGAGTGTGGTGTAGCAAGTTTTGAAGGGTACCTTTTTGATGAGAACACCCTTGCATTGTTGTTCCCCCCTAAAGATAAACATGAAGCACAAACTGAGTTTGCTCTTGTCAGAAGCTGCAATTTCTACTGTCATGAGTTTGTATTAAGTTTTACAATCTCCTCCATCAGACCATCTCTTCTCCATACAAGAAACAATTACTTGGTTTTTGTCAACCGTAACAATATTTAGTAACAGTATTTAGTAAACAGTAACTTTAATTTTAAAATTAAATTTCACATTAGAAATAAAGAGATTTTACATCTTAAATGGGGTTGATTCAATATTCAAGATTCAAGGAATGGGGTTGATCTTACATTCTAAGGTGAAAAAGTTAATATTTTCAAAACATAATGGTTGTTTTCACATATGGGGTTGATTCAAGATTCAAGAAGTAGGGATTTTACATCTTACATCATCAATTATAAAGGCAAAAGGCACACAAGTAAACAAAGGGACATGAATCAAATTTATTTATGTGTTTGTAGGATTAGTCATAGCTATTGAACTACATTATCAAATTACGCAGCAAACAAAGGGATCAAGTGTAGGATTTGATGCTATAATTTAAGAAGGATTCTCCAAAAAGGTATTTTTTTTATCAAGATTCAAAGAAAATGACAATATCAAATACACATCAAAAAAATGGTCAAATGCAATTGTCTAAGGATTCATGAATTATGACACATATTAATCCCATGTATGTAGCAGGATTGTTTTCATAATTAGGGTTGATTTGAGATTCCAGAAGTAGGGATTTTGCATCTTAAATGACATTATCAAATCAAAAAAAAAGAAACCAAATACCTAAGTTGTGTTTTGTTGTGATTGTGTCAGCAATATGGGGTGGAGCAAAAATTGCAGATGTTCTTGAACTGGTTGGCATGCCCAAGTTAACAAGTACTACATCTGCAGGTGGAAAACATGTAGAATTTGTGAGCACTGACAGGTTCAAGGTTTGTATCATATATTTACTTGTTGTGTTTACTTTCTTTTTTGAAGTGTTATTGTCTGTAATAAGATTCAGTGTTTTCTTCCATAGAAGGAAAAGGGGGGGGGTCCTTACAAGCCAATTTCATTGAATATCAAAATACAATACATCAAAATAGGTGACATAATTCGGGTGTTTAATAAATCAACAGTAATAAGAATCTTGTCATTAAAATCGTATTCTAGTTTAATGATTTATAAAATAAATAAGAATCCTATCACAGCATCGCCTGGAACCTTTTTAAACTAGGGATTAATACGATTTAAAAATAAGAATCCTATCAACTATGGTTTGAGTATTTATTTTAGTTGAAATTGGCACAACTAACATCAGGTTTTCACAATTCCTTGGGATGAGTTATGTAGTTAAAATGATAAGCTTACCGAAAAGGGCACGAGATAGGCTGTTATTGTCCCACCTTGTTTGGACTTTGATGATAGTTGTTTCACTGCAATGATTGACCCATCCGATAATGAACCCTATTATATATATTACATATTTTATTAGTAACATAAAAATAATAAAATTTGTGCTCTGAATGAATTGACAGTTGAAAGTTGACACCACCTTGTAAACAACACCAAAACCACCTTCGCCAAGCTTGTTTGACAGAACAAAGTTTTTAGTTGCAGCTTTTATCTGTCTTAGAGTGAATATTCCAGTTTGCAGATCCAGACCTTTGAGCTCTGTTATATAAATAAAATAAAAATCTGTTGTATTAGGTTTGTGACTAGTTTTTTTTTTGCAAATTTAAACATTCAGATGATATTAGAAAAGGTATTTACCTCTATCTTTCACATTTTACCTGCAAAGAAGCCTTTTCTCCACAAGATAAGTATGATTAAAAATACAAAAAACACTCCTCCACCAACAATCGCTAATATTAAACTAACTGCAATCTTTTTCCCATAAACAGGGGGGTCGAAATCTATACAACAATGCAATGTTAGAAAAGCAACTCTGACAGAATTTATAACATACTAAGCTGACATGGAAATGATTTTATAGGTTGTTTTTTTACTTAATGTGGAAAGATATGTATGATTGTTTCTACTTATTCTGAACAGAACGACTTAATGGGTTAAGCAAAAGATATGTATGATTTTATTGACAATTGTTTCCACCTCTTGCTAGTTTCTACTCTATTCTTTTCTTCCTCCTCCAATTTCATTAGTCTCTGCAACAAACTGGATATACATGAAAACTCGAGTAAAGTGGGTAAAAATCAGAAAGCAGAAGGACCAATTTTGTAATTTATATAAATGAAAAAAAGTAGAAAAAACCAATAAAACGTGCAGCCCATTCATCAACTAACCCAACAACATCATAAGATATCTGTAATTTGAAAGAAACAAATAGTCAAATAACATTAAGCACTTGTTTTCTAGCCTCAGATAATCAAGAAAAGCAGAACATGTTATGTGGAGCTGAATTTTGACAAATATTACCCGAGGAAAACGTCGAAGAGCCAATCCTAAGTTCCTTATAATGAATAAATCAATAGTTACTGTTTCAAGTACATAAGGCCTTTGTACCTTCACAGCAACCAAATCCCCCATTTTCCTTTAATCTACCCTTATACACCTGCCCAAGTGAGGCTGCTACTATAGGAGAAGTTGTGAGCTCTGAAATATTTGAATTCTCTTGATCACCAGATAAATATGCCTCAGAAATTGACCCTTCAGATGGTAGCACAAAGAACTTTGGTGAAAAAGGGGCATAGAATCAAAGGGAAGTGATAAACATAAGCCATCAATTTAGGTCCTCCATCATAAGTATCTTTAGAACTGGAAAAAAGGTTGGGATTTAGGGGTATCAGCTTCACGGGGGTAAGCTGCAACCACCCTTCATCTTCAAAGATGGGATTCTCCTTAGGTTTGTTGTTATTTTTGTGTATAGAGTTTTGATTGTTTTTCTTCTTGAGTTCCTCGTAATCTTGGACAAGTAAGATTTGATATTCATGATAAGCATCTGGTCCTAAAGGTGATTCAGGTAAGCTAAGTGACATGTCTGCAATAGCAAGAGAAAAGATTGAAATTGAAGTCCATTCAACAATAAGAAATAAAAGCAGAAAGGATGACGATCAGGTGAAGTTATCAAAAGTTGTGAAATATCTAATATTTGGGATCATTGAAGAAAGAATCTTAAGGGTTTGCTTAGTTAGATGGAATTCTGGTACTCTAAGGTTGCATTTGTTACACTACACGTGATGGAACAAGTTTAATAATGAGGGTGAGGAGGGCATTCTAGTCTTTATCAAAAATATATCAAAGCAAGCATCAATAAGTTCAAATAATTACAATAACAAGGAAAGATATAATGACAGAATATCACCTCTGAGATAGATATGTATATAGTGCACTGGGAAACACATTGAAGTGTGGTTAGACAGCGTAAAATGTATCGATGTGCATCACTTAGAAGGCGACAAGTGAAGAATACTTTTGTGAGGTCATCATTCTTCTGATTCCAATAATCACCTAAAAACAGAAAGCAAAAAGAGTCATGGAATTAATCTTCATGTCTAAAAGTATTACCATAATGAATAAAGATAAGGAAAAGAAAGCATGATAAGAGTTCCAACATTAGTCAGGGCATTAGCACCATAGCCTCTTCTAGAAGTGCCATGGCAATGTCTGGCCTAATGCTCAATGCTTGCCTACGTTTGAAGTATGCAGGACCCAAAGAAGTTACACTTTCCCTCAACTCAATTGCCCGAGAAACTTCATTCTGATCAACATAATAAAAAACACAGAAGTAAGAATTAGGGAAGCAGAAAAACCTCACAATCTATACATGTACATATCGATTGACAGTTCTAATTTGGCATATTACTTGTTACTTAAATATTCTTATTAAATTGTGTCCAGACTAAAGATTTTCGTAATTAACAGTACAAAATCAAACAATCATTTTACAGATCACCATTACACGAACCTGGATGTCAATGGTCGTACCTTCCACTGTAAACCATCTAAGATCTGAAGCTCCATAACTAGAATATCTTTCACCTCAATTACTAGTGTTTAGTCTGTGTATTAGATCGATGTTATCAAAAAAAATACGCAGTATGCATATGTATATATAGGTGAGATAGATAGATAGAGAGAGAGAGAGAGAGGGGGATGGAGAGAGAAAGAAAGAGAGACTTGTAGTTGGTCACGTATTACCTGCATCACATAGAAATTGAGGGAATGTTGATTTCATCAGATGACTTTGAAATGGTATATAGAACCCTAAATCACCTTCTAGGTTTAAAAAAGGGGAACCGGAAGTAGATCGATGGAGTTGGGTAGATCGGAGGTGGAGTGGGACTGGGAACACTCAATCGTATGCGAGATCCAGAATAAGATGAAAAAGCATGTGTATACCTTCTCAGTATTGTCCATGGTGATTGGTCACTTTGCAGGTGTAAGGTCATGTAGAATAAGAGGAGAGACATATGTGAGAATTAAACTTTTTTAAGAACGATTGAGTTGTGGAGAGTGAAGCCGAGTCGATCTTCGAAGAGCGGCGGAGCCCGGAGAAAGGAGGCAGAGTAGCAGCGGTGGATTTAGGGTTGAAGAGCTGGGATGTTTGGTGTAAGAGAAATTGAAATTATCACCAAAGTAAACCCTAATTCAGAGCTTGAAGGCGAAAAAATGGAGAAAGGGATAAAGATTGGCAGCCACACTATTAGGGTTTCTTGGTTACAACATACGAAGGAGTAGATGGAGAAGGAGTAGATGCATCAGGCGGGGTTTATAATTTTTAGGGATTTCATTTCCCTTTAAACGCACCTTTCACTCAAATTATAAAACGACATACTTAGACGACGCACTTTTTACGACCGGTGCCCTCCGTGTTTTTTATTTTTTTTGTTCTGACATTAATTTCACGGCACGAATAAATGTGTGTGCTCTATCCTTCAAATTTTAGAAGAGAATACATTATTTTTAGAGCGCCCGCTTTTGCGTATCGTAAATCACTGCATGTCATTGTTTGCGTGTCATTAAAGGGCTGTTTTCTTGTAGTGATGGTTTTTAAATGAGGGACTCGACGAGTCACCCCTGTTTTCAGAAAACTATATAATAGGCACAAACCCATGAGACAAGGACTTCAAACTGGAACCCTTGGAGGTTGAATTGCGATTAAGAGTGCTACTGGAGCTTTGGAACCCGTGGATCAACCTTAGCATTTAATTTTGACGAGATCGAAAGGCACGATTATACTCTCTTTTCTTAATCTAGTGTTTACATCATATTTGAATTATTAGGTTTTGTTAGTGAGACATTTTCTGCTATGAATATGAGCTAAAACTCGTTTCTTCTGTTTAGAGTAGACAAATTTATGACTATGGTTTGATTTTGTGTTTGGATTAATTTAATTTGGTGAATTTTGTTTTATTAAGCTTGTTAAAGACCCTCATGTGTTGCCAATAACTATTTTCTGTTAATTATCAAGTATATTAAGTTTCATGAACATCTCTTGATTGCTTGTCTCATATAATTTATGTGAAAACAATGTTATTTGCCTAGGAATAGTGAACATGAAACTAGGGGTTAATTAAAAAATAGGTAAATCAATTTGTGAGCTTGTGTGACGAACAACCATACAAGAAGTTAATTGAATTAGCAATTTAATTAGTTAACTACAAGTCTTACTAAACCTGAATCAATAAACTATTAAACTCATTAATTTAACCAATTGACCACTGTTTGAATTGATTTGTTTTCTAAGGCTTAGTAATAGTGAACATGAACATAATCACATTAATCGCTAGCCAATGACAAATTAATCCATTGTACGTGCCATAAAATCAACCATAGGAATAAGTAAGTTAAACCTGAACAGAAGTCTCCTTTATTATTGAATTTAGTTGATTTTTACTTGTTTTAGCTGCTAATTGTTTTGTTTGAGTGTTAGTTAAGTACTTAAGTTTCTAGTATTTCAAAACTAGAGAAAGCTTCTTTTCTTTTATCATTTGTTTTTTAGATAATTCTAGTAGTTAGTTTACTTACCGTTCCCTGTGTTCGATTCCCTGCTTTCTTAACTATACCACCAATTGATAGGTACACTCCCTTTTGTGTGTCTAAACTATATTTAAAAAGTGGTATTCAAACTAGTGTATTTAACACACATCAATCGAACAGATCATCTATTCTGGGTAGAGGGTCGCGATTCTTAATTGTGAGTTTGTTTAGTTTGTGGTAGTCTATGCACATTCGGAACAATCCATCCTTCTTCTTCACGAACAAGACCGGTGCTCCCCAGGGTGAGAAGCTTGGTCTAATGAATCCCTTACTGAGTAGTTCGTTAAGCGGGCTGGATAATTCCCGCATTTCTACTGGTGCTAGACGATACGGGGATTTAGAAACTGGGGTAGCTCCAGGAATCAAGTCAATTTGGAACTCGACTTAGCGTTCAAGAAGAACTCCTCGAAGATCTTTGAGGAAGATATCAGGAAATTACAGACTTTAGGGATGCTCTCGAGGTCTTTATCTTCTTGTTTTTCGTTAACTACATGAATCTCGACACGATGAGGACTTAGCCAATCCATGCCAATGATGACATCAAAGCTTTTTATGGAGACCGGCATAACGGTAATTGGAAAGGAATAGTAGTTTGGAGTTAAGGTGCAGTCTATGAATACGTCATTAGTGCTCTTATTCTTCCCGTTAGCCATTGAAACAATGAATGTTTTGTTTAGTGATTAGGGTTTGTGTTTGAGTAAGCGTTTGAATTTATGGCTAACGAAACTCCTCTCTGCACCACTATCAAAGAGAATGCATGCATAAGAGTTGTTGAGGAGGAATGTACTCGTGACTACAGTGGGATTTGCTACTGCCTCCTCCTGGCCCATTGCTATCACTCTCCCTTTGTTGCCGACATTTCTTGCTTTGGGGTAATCCCTCTTGTAATGCCCGGTTTCACCACACCCATAACAGGTTTGGCCTACTCCAGTACTGGGGGTATGAGAATTAGGCTACATAGGTGTTTTGTAGAAGCGAGATGTATGCCCCTTCTTGTTGTATTTGGTGCACTGCATCTCTTGACAAGGCCCGTGGTGGTGCAAGTTGCATTTGTGGCATCTCGGGAGGTTCCCAAAGTATCGACTAGGTGGTGTCTGAGTAGTAGGAACAACTTCAGAAACAGTTGCAACATGAACTACCACTACTTGTTGCTTCTTCGAGGGCTCCTGAGATGTTTGCCCTGTCCTTTTGTTCCATAATTTCTTCTTTCCGCCACCTTCTTTAGGTGTTTCGGGAGCGGTTGTTATAAAGTCTTAGCGATCTCCGTGATCTATTAGTGTCTGTGCTAGACGTTTAGCATTGTCAAACGTAAGTGGGTTGGCAGCTAGGACATTCCCTTGGGTCATGGGAGTTAATATCCATATGTATCTTTCCACCTTCTTGCTCTCCGGGGTAACCATCCCAGGACACAGAAGAGTCAGCTCACTGAACCTAGCTATGTAAACAGTAACATCATAACCCTTCATCTTCAGACTCCATAGCTCCTGCTCTAGTTTTTGCATCTCTCCCCTAGGGAAGTATTCAGTTAGCATTAGTTCCTTCAAATT